CAAGACTTAGCTTCTCTTGATTTCATCACAGAACTAAGGTTTCTCAGCCGAATGATTCAATTACACCTAGCCTATGCCAATTCTCAAGCATGAGCTCATGCAAGTATCAAAAGTACTTTGTTGCATTTCATTTATGATATATGGCTTGATACGTGCAAAATCTCATTGGTGGACATTGTTTTCTTCACCAAACAGATTGACAACTTTTCAGGAGGGAGAAATGCTTCTCCCCTTAACTTCTTGCTTTATTCTCCTTCATTAGGATGTTATTTGTCAGATTATCACATGTAGGACCTCTCCCCATAGACTAAGGAAATGGCCTTTTTATGGGCTCTATTAGTAGGAGGATCTGTGAAGAGCAGAGGTTACGATGAACATGGGTCAAAGCCAAGGCTAGCTAGATTTCCACCAAATTCCTTTAATGGTGTGTGCTAGATTCTCTTCAACTGCTTCTCTGGCTCTGGTCCTGGTTCCTGCCATGTGCTCTGCCCTCAGACTCTGACAGTCTCAACACATAGATTTTCCTACCCCACCCTACCCCACACTGGTCAGTGGAATTCCCCAGTCAGATTGGGAAGAGAGTGATGAATAGGAAAGACTCCCTAGCTCTCATTGGGCAGTACCAATTCTGAAGCAGTGGCCCACACTAGCATGTGCCCTTACTCATGGCCAGCAACAGTGACAAATTTTGTTCATGACTCTTCAATTGTCCTTTTGTGATACATCCTTGTCTTACATGCATTGGAGTTTTCATTTAGGCCCATTCAAGACTGCAGGGTGTTTGTGTTCCCATGAGGCTTACACTCCCTAAGCAATAAGTGTGAGCTCCTATAATACATGAGACAAAGTTCTAGGTGTTTGTAATAAGTAAATGGAGTTAAATATCCTGGCTCCTTAATATCGTCTATCTTTGCAACACATCATAATGTCCTATTTATGTCTTGCTGGTGTATTAGCTTCCTTTTCTCATTTGATTAGGACCACCTCCATGGCTGGAACTATATTGTTTTCACTCAGTACATACCTAGCAATTGGTCAGTGCCTAATTCTGATCTGTCAATACTTTCGAAAGCTCTAGAAGCCAAGTACACAAACACATTGAAGCATTATGAAGAAGCAGGTGATACCTAAAATGCTGTCCAGCCCTGAATCACGGAGGGAGTTTCCATTTGCCCCAGCCTATATCTTATGGTGCAATGTCTACGACCTTCAAACCTCAGCAGCCCATCTCCCTCCTCCACTGGTCGTATTCAGAAGAGATGGTGTGTAGCAGAGGTCAACATCATTATCTTACAGTTAGTAATGGTGCCCTTTGTTTGTGCTTTGGACTCCTCAGTGTCTCCCAGTAGGGAAGGAAAGAACTTTCATTTATACTTTTTGCTCAAGTTGACGCTGCCTGCTGAGAGTCTATATATAACCTAAGTATTTTAAAGATAAAAATAAAAATTATATGGCAAGATGTCTTTACAGTCAATAGACAGAAATAACACTTGCGCTTTTGGAGACAAAAGCAGCCTGGTGTTTAAGATACCCACGGGGCAGGTTCTAAGTTGGTTGCAGCCTTGCTGAGGTATGCTTTCAGTCCTAGACAAATCAGGGAATTCTTTTGCCACAAACTTCAGCTTCTGGTAATTTTGCAAGGACCTTCATCTTACCTTTGGGATTTTCTTTCAGTTCTACTTTGTGAATTTCCAACACACTGACTCAATGATGGCAGATATGGATTCCATGTTAAATCATTCAGAGATCAATGCAGCAATACCACAGATCAATAGGACAGACCTGGAAATTGTGCTGCATTCTGATGCCAGGTCCCTTAAGATGACAACTACAAAGAAGGCCACTAAAAAGTTTCTGAGCTTGAGGCATTGAACCCATAGGCCCTGATGACTCACTCTAACTTAATGGTTCTGCAAGAGGGGTCTATAAGTCCCTGAGAATCTCTAAAACCTTTGAGGGTATATGTGAAGTTAAAGCCATTTTCATAGTAACATCTTGCCATTATTTACCTCTTCGTCGTGTTGGCATTTGAATCAGTGATGCAAAAAACAGTGGTCAGTAAGACAGCAAGTGCCTCAGCAAGAAATTAAGATAACACAGCAAATTGTATATGTCACCATTTGGGCTTTAGCTCCATGCACCCACAGCAAAACACAAAGCCAGCTTCAATTAAGGATGCCTTTCAAGAGGAGCAAGGCTTTTCATACATTCAATCTCAACTCTTGAGCACAAACAAATTTATGTTTTCCTTATGTGTGAAATGAAATGAGTTCACAAAACAACACATTTCTACCATGCATGCAAGTACAGCCATGAAAGGTGTAATACTCAGGGAGCTGCAGAGCACATGTTCAACAATGGTCCTGCAGATGATAAGGAATGGGGCATTTCTCACCCATCGATGCTTTATAGCCCTTCCCCTGGATATGCAGATATAAGCAAGTTTCTAGTCACCCCAAATAGGGTTCCAAAGACAGTCAAAAGTTATTCCACCCAAGTCCAGTTTGGTGATCTGATGACTTATTGGGCTTACCTAGAGAATCATGGGTGAGACATGCTTATGAGGGGAATTTAAAACAGCCATAGCATAAAAAAAGTCCTACCCAAGCATGGTTGCCTTGCAGAAGCTGCATTTGAAAGTCCATTCTCTGTATGAAGTAGGACCTGAGGGGTGTATTCTATGATTTTTGTTTAATTTTCACCTTCTTTGCTGTCTGATTATCCCTGTGTAAGCATTTGGATACCAGGAATGGCTCAAAAACATAGATCAAATTGGTACTCCCTTTCACATTGGTCCTCTGGTCATAAGAAAAAAACCAAACAGTACCTTAACTCATCCCCTTTAATTTACTTGCCAAATCAGAGGATAGCATGGAGGACACTACCTCCATGTCCTTTTCTTACTGTAGTTCCTCCTTCATTCGAGAAGTTTCCTCTCAGCAGCCAGCTCAGCCTTTTCCACATGTCTCACAATGCCCAGCAGTGACAATGCAACCAATTCATGGCTTTCCAGCAGTCTTATCCTATAGGTGCTTCTCTCTGACCTGCAATGTACCCTCTAGTCTTTTACAGGTTTTCAAAGTGTTCCTGAACACACTCAATGAACCTCATTTACCAAAGATGAACATTGCTCCGCTCTATATGGAAGAAAACCCCTATGGGAACCCTGTCCTTATGAAGACTCCATCTTCAGGTGGCTCATTTCTAATTATGCATCTTATTATAAACAGTTGGGTCCATGCAACTGTGCCTTAGCAAGAAGACATACTCCCCCATACCACACACCGAAGAATGGCCATATTAATATTTCTCCTACAGACACTCCATCTTCACACATTCATTCTGTTTCCTGTCTTACTATTATAAAAGGACCCTGTCATCCTTTTCTCCCCAAACCCACCTTTGGTTCTGTCAAGCCCCATGTAAGGGTGCCAGATTATATTGCATTATCTGGTCATCTATGAAAATGCTCCAAGGACAGACCAGAGGAACTATTTCATCCAAGAACAACTGTATGAGCCAGATCCTTAGTGGGCTTACTTATATGACCATAGGTGGGGGATCGCATACTGTAAATGGATTACTCAAGACTCTCTGCATCCTGAATTGTAACAAATTCTTGGATGATGTGTCTGGGGTACCACCTTCAGTTAACCTTCTACCCCTTTTATACCACAGATCCAGAGCTGTAAGGCAGAAGGCAGTAATGGCTGCAACCTAGAGGGAAGATCCAAAGCCTTCCCCTTCCTTCCACTGCTGTCTCCATTAGGGTTTCTCTTGCTGTGCTAAAACGCTATAAGCAAAAGCAACTTGGGAGGAATGCGTTTCATCATCTTGTTCTTCCGGGTAGCAGTCCATCACTGAAGAAAGTCAGGACAGGAATTCCAGCAGGAATATCAAGGCAGGAACTAAAGCAGAAGCCACAGAGGAACCCTGCTTGCAAGCTGCTCTCCATGGTTTGCCCTGTTTGCTTCTTTGTTTTTATACAATCCAGTACCATATGCCTAGGGGAGGCACTGGCTGGAGGCAGGAGAAGATGCCAGAGATAGTGGAAGGTGCTGCTTGCTGTCTCGCTCCCCATGGCTTGGTCAGTCTGCCTTCTTATAGCACCCAGGATTATCAGCCCAGGGCTTGTGCCATGGGCAGAGAGCTGAGCCCTCCCACATCAATCATCAGTCAAGAAAATGTACCACAGACTTTCCCACAGGTCAATATGATAGGGGCATTTTCTCATTTGAAGTTCCGTTTTCCCCAAAGTGACTCAAATTGTATCAGGTTAACATAAAACTAGTCAGCTCAGGTGTGTTACTAGCCCTACTACCACTGCTATTAGCCTAGGTGTCACGGTGTTTTCTAATCTCATTGTCATGGCTATTAAACCAAACATTCTGTAGTTCACCACAGCCACTCCGACCCCATGATATGAAGGTCATGTTAGGTTTTGAGGAAATAGCTGTTCACAGCGTTTAGTGACATCAAAGCAGGCACAACATCCAAGGGCTTTACTCATGAACCTGTCTTGATGCTAGTGTGAAGAAGCCTGACATTCAGCCAGCCATAGGACAATGGTCGAGTACATAAGCTATGGGCTGTTATCCCAAGCATCTCTCAAATGGAGTGCTTATGTGCCTTTGATCTGATTAGGAGGTGGTGGAACCTTCTAGAGTTAGCCTACCTACCATCCTAGATAGAGGGCACTGGGGATATGGCTCCTTCCTCTCTCCCTCTTCCTGGATGCCAGGAAGTAACAGACCTTCTCCAATCCCCTCACCCTCACTGGCCCAAAGAAACAGGACCAAGAGACCACATACTGGAAGCAGTATCCCAAATGAACCTTGGATCCTTTTAAGTTGAATTTTCCCAAGGTGTTAGCCACAGAAAACTGACAAACACAACTAACAGTCATGGGCAGTATTTGTTACAACAAATCAATCAGTATTAAATAGTAGTTAGTGACTTATGTGCTTACCATACAGTTCTTTTGTTATTTGAGAATATACTTTTTTTTTATTTCTGAATACCCAGTTTTAATATCCCACAGCCCTACTAGGCTGGGCTATTTGTAGCACCATGGAAAATGCATTAGAAACCACAAAGGTACAAATTCCAGCCAACCTTTTCATGAGGTTCACTTAGTCTACAGTAACAAACAATAGTGACAATAATTTTTAAATTATTGACTAGTTAGTTTTAACTAGCAAGAAAAATTCTGTGTTATCTTAGTAAGACCCCTGTACACGCAGCACCATTTTAAAACAGAATTGTCAAATACCTCCAGCATCGTGATGCTCACCCTGAAAGTTCATTTCTTACCACTTCCCATGTCAAGGATAAAATTAGAACAGTGACAAACACTGAGGGGGAAATTCAATAAAACACACGATTGGCAAACTACAAAAGGTCTACTGCATTCTCAGGAACCTTCAGTTCAGCAAAGCAGTGTCTGCTTCTGAGAGGCCCAACACACAGGAGTGGGGGGTCAAAGGCAGGGCTCAGGCCACACCCTGTTTCTGTTACTAAGCAACTGCTATACACACCATTTGGAGAGTGTGACTACAACCCAGAGAATTCTGAGTTTACCCCCAATTTCCAAAACTAGCCAGACTCCAATGAGGATTGGTTAGCTTTTTACATGGAAATCGGTGTATCTGCCAGTTTGATTCTTACTAGCATGCCCTTCTGAGGATTGGTTATAAAAGGGATAACGGCATATATAGATATGCAGTCAAGAATCAACTATAAATATTCAGACTGTTGCGTCTTAAAATTACATCAAGGTGACTCCCTAAAGAAAACCAGTTTCTTCATAAATGAAATCTAACATATAAAAAGCTGGAATGATGTGTAATTAAAATACAAAACTCAGGTAGAAAACACCCTATTTTTCCTTTCACCTACACAGGTTCATGCAGTTGACTCTACACACAACTGCTCCATATACAGTCACACCACTAGTGTAAAGTACCAGCACTACCGACTTAGGAAACGGAGACTCTGGGGCCTCACAGCCGCATTAAAACTGCAGCGCTGAGGCAGAGCTCAGAGGACGGTCATCAAGCATGGCTTCCTTCTTCCTGCTCCCGGGTCCCACAGTTATCAAGGGCCGGGATCTGGTCTGCAAACGGCTGTGCTATCCACTGCCCGTCTGGAGCGCCACCAGGAGCTGCTTCTCCTCTCAGCTCCGCACTGTGGGCTGCTAGCCCGTTTGAGGCAAAGCTGCAAGGCTCACTCTGACGTGGGTTCTCACTGTAAGCACTGCCATACGCTGCTTCATAGCCGGGGTCATACTTTTCTTCCTTAACAGCCATCTTCTTTGCATCCTCTTGTGCGAGCTGTAGGTCAAACGTGTACTGCACCTCCTGCACGTCTGTGTTCCGCTCAATGCCTTTCAGCTGGTCTCTTAGGTCCTTCAGCTTGATGTAGTAGTGAACCTTGTCCTGGGCGCGGGGAAACTGAGCACACCTGGCACTGGAGGACGGCATGACGTAGCAGAGAGTCTCTGTGTCTGGGATCTTGTGGGGCTGAAGCCCAAATTCCAAGTTCTTAACCTTTACTCCAAAAACTTCTTTACTGAAAATTTCGTAAATACATTTTCCATTGAACACCGCTATTCGTGGCTGATATTTCTGCAGTTTCTGCACTAGAATTCTCCCGCCTTCCTGGAATTCTTTACTGGACAGATCCTTGCTGCCCGGCGTCGTCCGTTCCATCATGTTGGTGAAGCCAATGCCGTACTTCCCAGGTAAGGTGTGGTCATCCATGTGATTCAACTGAACCTCACTCAGTCCTGACATGAACAGACACTTCCAGAAATGATTTCCAGGTCCAGGGTAATGATGCCCTTTGTAAGCAGCCATTAATCCTGGGTTAATGCCAATAATCACAATGTCCAGATTGAAGGTCAAAATATCAGGAAGGGTCTTGGTCAAAAGCTCAGCTTCAGAAACACCGTTGAAACGGTCCACTTTTCTTTTCACTTTAAAGGCGTCTGTAATTTTTTCTTGTTTTTCTTTTGACGTTGCTGACTTGCCAGACTTTTTCGGCCGGGCAGGTTTTTTGGGTTCCACTGGGTCCTTGGGTTCTGATGCTCTGGCTTTTCTTTTTCTTCTGTTTGGAGCCTCTGGTACAGGTTCCTGGGCAGAGGCTTCTGCGGGCATCTCCACTTCAGTCGTGACCGCCATATTAGGAGCTTCAGCCATCATGTGTTGAAATGGAAATGAATAAAAAGCTTGAACTTGCTCCAGAGGATAGCACACAGTCGGGGCGGCCGGCGGACGGACGGCGCTGGCCTCGGCCCCTCCCACGCCGCTACCGAGAATATACTTCCACTTAATAAAAACAAATATAATCTGCAGTGCTAGACCCATGAAGTCTTATTCCCTCATTCGTGTCATGCTTACTGTGTCTCCTGATGACACCAATCATCCACGTCAGTGGTTGACCTACTGTCATAATTAGGTAGCTGAAAGCAACTTTGAAGAGGAAAGGGTTTATTCAGCTTATCTGACCCCATAAATAGTCCACCACTGAGAGAAGCCAGGGCAAGAATGCAAGCAGGAATCTTGAGGCAGGAACTAAAGCACAAATCACAGAGGAGCTTTGCATATGAGCAAGCTCTCCATGACACGCTCAGCTTGTTTATTTATATAACCCAGTACCATCTGCCTAGGAGAGGCACCACCCACAGTAAGCTGGGTCCTCCCATGTCAATTATTAATCAAGGAAATGTTCTACAGGCTTGCCTACAGGCAAGCTTATGGAGGCATTTTCTCAACGGAAGTTCCCGTTTCTAAGTGAGTAGTTTATGTGAAGTTGGCAAAACCCAACCAGCACACTTAGAGCATCAAGTCTGTGTAAACACTCCAGGATGATCACGTAATAGTGAAGTCACCCAAATGACCTTAATCATATATTTTTATCATGACAGCCTCCAATATTTTACCTATTGGGATAAGAAGGGTGGTGAGATACATCACAGATGAGACACAGAATTCTGAATCCTAGATCTGTATCCTAATGTCCAAAAAAATAAAATACAAAATAAAAACCAAAAACCTCTTAGTCACTCCACTTTCATTGTCTCCCATTAATGACTGAGCATTAAAAACAGAGTAAGGAATTGTTGAGAATTATTCCAAATGTAACATCACTGATTCCTCTTCCCTTCCATCCCCTCCTCCTCTCCTCTCCTCTCCCTTTGTCTCCTCTTTTACAGCGTCTAAATGCCTTAGTCAGCATGTGAGTCAATCACCCTACAGGGAGGAAATATTTCCTTTGGTTCATGGTTGCAGGAAGAAGTATCCTCTGATGGTGACCTTGCATTAGAGACTGTGGCAAGGCAGATACCACAGCAGGGGGCATGTGGTGGAGGAAGCTGCTTACTGCATGGTGTCCAGGAAGCAAACAGAAAGACACAAGAACAGGGCGGGTTGCTCTGATCTTCTTGAGGACACAGCCCGTTGACCTTACTTTGTTCACTGGATCCCAGCTCTTAAAATTTCTGCCAGCAGCCAAGAGTTTCACAGATTCCTTTCAAGGCGCCTAGCATATAGGGGACATTTGGGGATAGACACATCCAAACTATAGTCCAAAGCTTCTCAGCAGAAAGAAAGGAAGTTTTCTTTACAGGGGTAAAGCGAGACCACAAAAGCTGGTAGACGAAAAGCACCTTTAGCTCACCCTAAGGACAGAGGGAGACATCGAGAGATAGCACATGCCAAGACGGGGAGTCAGCCACATCTAATCTCTGCAACTTTGCTGTGCTAAGGCAGATCCATGTCCTATGTCAGGGCCTGCTGGGTGTGAAAATGTGTCCTGCTGGGAGAAGGCTCCAGTGCAAGCTAAGGAGTAGGATGTGGGATACTGCTAAAGCTCTAAGCAATTTAAAGCGAAGCCCACGCAGAGACCCGAAGCCCTGCATGCAGCAGCCCCTTGCTAAATGCCTGTTGCCTGAGTGACTGGTGGCTTGCAGAGATGATGGCCCTGCCACACTCCAACTGGATCTAAATTTCATCAGTCAGCATGAGCACTGCTTCCAGAGGCTGCAGAGGTGGCTTTTTATCAATGCTGCCTTCCTCAACAGGATCCGCCTTTCACGGTGGCTGATTCCCAGATGAGGAAGGCGCAGCTGAAGAAGGCGACGATACAGATGGTCTTGCTGGGGGCTGATCCCTGGTTGAACTTCTACAAGGAAATGATGCTCTTTCCATTAATTTCTTCATGTTTAAAACGGTCTGATTAAGTGTCCAAAAGACTCTAGAGACTTGCTGACAGTGTCCAGAAGGTTCTACACTTCCACTTCCTTTCCTTTAGAACCTGAAACCCAGTCAGAGGAAACCAATAACAGAAGCTGTGCTTTGATTTCTTGTGGCTACATAGGGAGGGGAAGTGAGTAGTGGGGATGAGGTAGGGCAGGCATTAGAGTTCTGAAGACAGACAGGAAAGGACATCCTACCTGGCCTCCATCGCATGCAGTGTAATCAACTATCATCTAGAAATGAGTGTTTCAATTGAGCTTTGCTGTAAACACTAATATTTCCTCCTCTCTGCTGCTCTCCTCTCTGGAGACCTCATGTATATTTCACTATGTGTCCTGCCTACTATTACACTCATACATCAAAGGATCTGAGGACAAGAACCTGATTCTGAAAACATTATTCTTTTAAAGATTTATCCTCTCATCTTGACCAGCTCTGCAGGTGAAAGGGAGCCGCTCTCCATAAATTATTTTAATGCGCTATGCAAAAGGGATCTTCTCACCTCTTCTTGCAAAAACTTTTCCCAAAGTGAAATTAGAGAGGGGCTTACATTTCATCCCTTTCTAGTTTTTCTATCCAAGTACACCTTGGGATACCCATAAATGACAAACGAAAAAGTAAAGAACTCAGTGTAGGGATGGGGACTGAAAGATCTAAGAATGTCAGTAAAATCTTGGGGAGATCCCAGACAAGGGACTTGGCTATCTACAAGAAGGCCATTAGACATGGATGTAGGACCACCTTTCAGTGTCTGTTAGACTGGCCCACATTTGACATGTTCTAAAGGCACACCTTACATACTCAGAGTGATACCCAAAGCCCTAATTAAAGGTCTCACTGTCAGGACAGAAGCCAACAAATTCCCTAGCCTCAGACCTTACCCCACAATACTTCTAGAAATGCTTCTCACCCTAGCTGATGATCCTTGCCTCTTGGAGATCCTCCCCTTCAGTAGAACCCCAATGGAGGGAAATTCATGGAACTTGAAGGCCCTTGTTTATCCAAGTGTCATAGACCCTTGTTCTTTGGATGTAGGTCAAGCCCAAATGCCATCAAGTGCTTTCTTTTAGACCCTGACTGACTAGGCCTGAGAACAAGGCCAGAACATTTAAATCTGCAGATAAGAGACTCCCCCTTGCTTCCAACATTCATTTCCAGTGTCAAGTCAAGGGTTTCAATAAAACTCTTGTCCCTAAATACCACATCTTCCCCAATGACTAAGTCTCTATCCTTTGCTTTTCTATAAACGAGGTCTCCTGACTCCACAATAGATTCCATGTAACTAAGACTAGAATGGACATAACAGCATCCTGGAAGGCACTACCACCTCTCCATGAACACTGGCCCAGTTTACATCTCCTGCTTTGGAAATCACATCACAGACACCAGTCATGGTCATGACCTCAAGCATCACTGCTGAGCCTGAATCTCTGCTGTGTTAAGCCACTTTCTACACCGCATCACTGCTGAGCCTGAATCTCTGCTGTGTTAAGCCACTTTCTACACCGCATCACTGCTGAGCCTGAATCTCTGCTGTGTTAAGCCACTTTCTACACCGCATCATAAGGGCCGAGCTGGTTGAATTTAGGAATATAAATACACGCATGTAACAGCAATTAATGAAAAGAAGAGGCTACAAATTCGAAAGGGAGCAAAGAGAAGAACATGGAAAGGCTTGGAAGGCAGAAAGGAAGGGAATGATGTAAATATATTATAATTTCAAAAATTAGGAGAAATATTTTTAAAGTAGCCTATAAGCATTAAGCAGAATAGTGACAGTCCTGGAATTTGAAGACAGCCTGTGGTGGGCAAAGAGAGAAAGATATCACCAAGCAGTTTGTGCCCTTGGGCCCTTCTTCTCCAGGCCTCTTGTCTCTTCCTTCAAACCAAGAATGCTGGACAGTTCCTCATGCTATCAAAAGGGAGAAAGGACAGAACCCTTGCAAAGGCTTTGTAAAGGTGTATGCCATGGCCTGCGGGACTCTGCAGTCCTGATATAGTCTGCCCCGAGGGGCACCTGTGTGGGAAGACCCATGTTGTCACCACTCAGTGGTGACTGCTGGTCTTGTTTTCTGATATGAGCTTTCCTTAATCTCCTTCTCAACTACCACCCTAGCCACCATGACCACCACCACCATCACCACCACCACCACCACCTCCATCACCACCGCCGCTACCTGCCCAGGCCATCTGCAGAGTATTTTGTGTCCATTAATGTCAGAGAGATCTTCAAGGCAGTTCCAGAACTGAGAAGCTGTAAACAGGTTTGATTGCTTGAACGTGTCAGTGAGGACAAAGACAGAAAGGTAAAGCCCCTTGCAGTGGGTTTTGCTGTAGGGAACGAAGAAGAAAGTACCCCTGATTTGATTAAAGAGTAGAGGGAAGACAGACGGAGAGTTAGGGCAGGGCACGGGTCCACTGTGTGATTGAGAAAACGGTTCAGGGATAAGAAACCTCTAAGCTGCAGAAACGATGCATTGCCTGGGCTGTTTCTAGCTCATCTGTGGAGATTTGTCGCCATCTCGTGGCCGTGCTTTGGTACTGTACTGTACCCCTCCCAGCTTCCTGGCGGAAAGGAAAGGTTCTTTCACAATGAACCTGGGATGTTACTGTGTATTAGCAAAACAACTTAAGACGCAGCGTCAGTGGGCCCCTGCTTCTCAGAAGGCAGTCTCCCAGTTTTTTTCAATCTATGCTAACAGTTAGCCTGTGGCAACAGAACAAGGTGGGCCGCCATTGAGGCTAAGCCGCTTGGGACTGTACCCTGCCACATGCTGTCACAGAGAGGCCATTTCCCTGCAGCCTCTCCTCGTTTTAGACTGCCCAAGGAAGGGGAAGTGCTGCTAGGCGATTCTATGGGCATGGTGCTTGAGACCCCCTTCCTGAATTGTCCCTATTGTTGGCCCTTTACAAAAAGATGAATGGGACTTTGAGGCACTTGGGGAAAGCATTCTGATAGAGGTGCCTTGAAGGGCAAGATGAAAATTTCTCTGCTACCTCTGAAGTTGCGTCACCTGGCGTGGAATAGGCAGACTGTGTAAGAAGGGCATCATTCATTCACTCAGAGTCAGTTCTTTGGAGTCCACTACTATGTATTGCCGATGTGACATTGAGAAAATTAGGCCCAGATTTCCGCTACGGACCTTTTGTGCCCACAGAGAAACAGCGGCCAAGAAGCATAAGTAGAGGACAGACTTCTTTGACTGTGATAAGAGCAAGGAAATATAAAGAAAGGGGATGTGTAATGCCAGGGGTCAGGCTGGGACAAGCTGATGATGAAACCTCCCTGCTTATGGGCCACTAATATGCCTCATCTAGAGAAACTAAAACAGAGAAAATAGTTCAGCCTGCTACTTGAAAACCAATCTAGACTCTATGTTCTTGCTGGAGCTGAGCTTGCTGGTGGGAGTTTGCTCTGGGAGCGTGGGACTCCATCATGCAAACCCAACTCGGAGTGAGGCTGAGGCAGGGTTGGCCTGGGCCCCATGGTGCCACACAGACCTAGAAACAGTGCTTCTAAACTCCGTGTGGAGACCCACTAAGCTTGGTGGAGAAGGAGCAGGGCCTTGGGGAGGAAGCAAACTGCCGCCATTACTACAAATTAATCATTGCCTCTGTCCCCACGAGAAGCTATGAATCCAACCAGATCCTTCCCAGATGGGTCATCTACGGGGCACTGT